GAACCGCTTCAAGAACAAGGGCAAGGACACGACGGTGAGCGCCGGCCCGGCCTGGAGGCGTCGCTGGGTTTCGGGGTCTTTTTTTTGTCGTCGTTGTTGTTTTTTAATTTCTTTTTTTTAAAGCGCCGCTTTGCACTTTAAAAATTAAAAAAAAAAAAAAAAAGTGACAATTTCCTTTTCCTCTCAGGAAATGCGGCGGCGGCGTATCGAAGTCAACGTGGAGCTGAGGAAAGCCAAGAAAGACGACCAGATGCTTAAAAGAAGAAACGTCAGCACTTTCCCGGACGACGCCACTTCTCCTCTGCAGGAAAATAGGGGCAATCAGGTACCGTTGGTGGCGTCGTAGGGGTCGGGGCTGGAAGGGACCTCAGGAGACGGGCGAGTCCGGCCCCCACCCCAGGGGCAGGAAGTCAGCCGGGGTCACGGGGTCCCAGCGAGATAAGGGTCCAAAAGTGTCCCTCCGATTACAAGAGGTTACAGCTTATTCCGGACGAGGGCTGGTCTCCCTCTTGGTGCTGAAAGTCGCATGTACAGCAACTCCTCGCTGAACGCAGTCGCGTTCTTGAGAAACGCGACAGTCGATCTGATTACGCTGGCAGCCAAACGATGGCATAACCGAGCGACTTTGAACGAGCGTGTTTTCTAATAGATCGGCAGCGTAGTAACAAAACCGCGTCAATCGGGGCGAGGTTAAGTGAGGCGTTCCTGTACTTGGGAAGAGCACACGCCAACTGCAGGGCCGTCCTCAGCCTGACGAAGGGTTTTTAAACCCAAAAGCTTCCTAAAAAAGATGTTTTCCAATTATTTAAGTTGGCCAAATAAAGGATATTGGGTTCGCCCAAAGAGCCTTGAGTACCTGTACAGCACCGTACTTACACCTGGTGATGTCAAAAGCACTACGCCATAGGTCCTTGCCAAAGCAGAGAGAAACTTCTTATGAAGTTTCTGCTTCTCCTAACGTAGTTCTTAAACCTGTTTCTATCCCACGGACAGGTCTGTGCACACTGGTCTGTTGAAGAAATAGTCAAAGGAATTAGCAGTAACAACATAGAACTCCAGTTGCAGGCTACTCAGGCCGCAAGGTAAGCGACTTGGCGTAAGTGTCATTTGGTGACTGGGGATGAGGAACAGGGTTTAACTCCGCAGAGCACAAGCACCAAACATAAAGCTGAGATTTTGGCAGGCTAATATTGGGCAAATGTTGCTAATAGTAAATAAATAATGCTGTGTTATCTGGCCTCAGGTAAGTAAACGAGTTCTCTGGGCTACGGTCAGTATTCAAGGGACTGAGCGTAAATGGAATTACACAAGCGCTGGTGATCTGACTGTTTAGAGGTGTCCTCTGAGCATGAGACTTAACCTGGCACTTGAGCTGTACTTTTCCTTCTGTCTCATGGTGTTAAGGGTGACGTGGATGTTGGAAGTGTCAGATTTTTTTATCCTCGGCTCTATAGAGGTGGTGGGTATTGCAATTTATTTGTAAGGCTGGAATATGAGATACTAGTACTGAGGAGCATTCCCTCAGCTTAATGTATGAAAGTGGAGGTGAAAGAGGGAGGCTTTCTCCCTAGAGTGTTGGTTCCAAATATAGCATAATAGTTGAAGTTTGAAAAGTCATGCACAATGAGGTAGGAGGATGATTACCTGAGATGGTAGTGCAGTTTCTGGCAGTTATTGCCATTTACTTCAAGCAGTTCCAAGTGCATTATTACTTTTCCACAACCAAGTAGCTTGGCTTAATTTTAGATTTTATTGTGTTTTTTTTTAACAAACAGTTTCAATACAAAGCTGGATCTGTCAAAAGCAGTCTTTAAACCACTTAATGTAGTGTTCAGCTAGTCTTTATTGAACTTCTTTGGATGTTTGCCACTGTTGGAAGAATATCTTTTTAAAGTAAAACTTGGGTCTTCTGCTGACTAAATTGGAATCTACAGTTCAGGTTGTAGTAGACCAAAAAAATTAACTCCCTGTGTTTGTTTCTGTCTTAGGAAACTGCTGTCCAGAGAGAAACAGCCCCCCATAGACAACATAATTCGGGCTGGCTTGATCCCCAAGTTTGTCTCCTTTTTAGGGAGAGCAGACTGTAGCCCTATTCAGTTTGAATCTGCTTGGGCACTTACTAACATTGCTTCTGGCACGTCGGAGCAAACAAAGGCTGTGGTAGATGGTGGAGCCATACCAGCTTTTATCTCCCTGTTGGCTTCTCCTCATACTCACATCAGTGAACAGGCCGTGTGGGCTTTAGGAAACATAGCAGGTATGTCAGTGCACTGCACTTACATCATTTTCAGGCCAATTAATTTATGAGGGAAAATCACTGGGGGTCAGAGTTTCAAAACTGTTCGTGTCTTCCCTGCCTAATATGGAGAACTCTTCCAAAAATCTGAACCTGGGTGTCTAGCAAAAGAAGCCTGGAACACAAACCTGGAGCGGGTCAGCTACAGCTGCTTGTCTTGCTTTGGCTAGCAGTTGTATCTACTATGACTTCAAGCAAGACTTGGTAATCTATAGGGTGTTGCTATTTGACAGGACTCTTCTATCTTAGCGCTGTCTGATCTTTAAAGTCTTCTGAGGAAATTCTGCTTAATCCTGAAACTGAAATCTGTGAGAGAGGGGGGCCTTTTGGGAGGAGATAACACATTACTTTGTGAATGCTAGGTCATCAAAGGAGCACACTAGCAAACCATGTCACACTAGTGTCTGAATTCTAGACTTAGTGGAACTTTGTATTTTATACTTGAATCCCAGCAAAACATCTGTCTTCAAATAAAATTGTTGCTGCTAAGTTGTCCTAATGCTACAACAACTGCTTTGTGTACTTAAGAGGAGGAATTTGTGCTATAATTAACACATTTCAGCCAGCATCTCTCACTTTATATCGAATGACAAACTAAAGATTTCAGCTTCTAAAACTCAAATTAAAATAGCATTCTAAAAGTAACTAAACTGGCGCTTTGTTTATTATTGAAGAAATAGTAAGAGGTGGATATCAAGTATGTTTTAAAGTTTTCCATCAACTCTTACTATTTGTCTACTTGTTGAAATCCCCTCTAGATCAAATCACTGACTGTTTCAAGTTCAGTGCTGTACTGCCTGGTAAAATGCAGTTTTATAAAGGAATGTGTTATATTTGTGTGTAGACTGTAAACTCTGTTGCTTGACACTTGCTGTTATTCACATGAATATCTCTTCTGGCTTCCAGGTGATGGTTCTGCCTACAGGGACTTAGTTATTAAATATGGTGCAATTGACCCACTGCTGGCTCTTCTTGCTGTTCCTGATCTCTCTTCTCTAGCAGTAAGTATGCATCATGAATTAAGTCATCGCTGTATCAGTTCATTGTCTCAGATCACTAAACCTGTCTGAAGAAGAAGCTAAGTAAAAATTGTGTGCTGCTTCTTCAGTCAGGATACCTGCGCAATGCTACCTGGACCGTTTCAAACCTGTGCCGTAATAAGAATCCTGCACCACCTATAGAAGCTGTTGAGCAGATTCTTCCCACTTTAGTTCGTCTACTGCACCACAACGACCATGAGGTTTTGGCTGACACGTGCTGGGCGGTCTCCTACCTTACAGATGGTTCTAATGATAGAATTGAAGTAGTAGTGAAAACTGGACTCGTGCCACAACTTGTGAAGCTTCTGGGATGTGCTGAACTGCCAATAGTGGTAAGATCATAGCAAGTAGAAATACCTTGAGCCCATAATTCTCTGGCTGTTGAGTGATTTAAAGGATAAAACAATGAACAGAAGTAGCTACAAAACAACAGAGAGCTACTTCAGGGAGTTGAAAGAATGTCTGTAAAATATGGGTGACTTCTACAGAGACAGTAGTTCAAGAACTACTGGAAGGTCTTCCTCTGAAGTACGGAGGAACTTTGCATGAGAACGTCACTCATCTCTGTAACATTTATGGTAATGTTCTCTGCAGCTGGCAGTTGCAAACAAGTAGTTTGCTAAATGTCAGTGTAGTCCAAATGACCTGTGAGTCTTAAAGTGTGGAATGTTACATCATCATCCATGCTTTCAAATTTGGTCACCTGTTTCAATTAGGTAATCAGAACAGGCTGTCAGTGATGGTACTCGCTAAAGCCCATTAGAATGCCTGGCCTACCAGGGCCCGTAATTGATAATGAAACCTAGTAAAGGAGCAAGGAATCCCAAAACTAGTATTAGTGCCATTAGAGCCTGGGTTCTAAGCGTCCAACTTCATGTTTACTCCTTCCTCTAGCACTTGTCCAAAGCCCCATCATAGACATTGGCCTCAACATCCTTTAGGTATTACTACTAACGGTTATAAATAGTACGATGTAACTTAATGCTTTTTTTTCAATAGACTCCTTCATTAAGAGCCATAGGAAACATTGTCACGGGCACTGATGAGCAAACGCAGCTTGTTATTGATTCGGGAGCATTAGCTGTCTTCCCAAGCCTGCTCAGTCACCACAAAAACAACATTCAGAAAGAAGCAGCGTGGACCATGTCCAACATCACTGCTGGACGTCAGGACCAGATCCAGCAAGTTATAGATCATGGACTTGTTCCATTTCTTATTGGAGTGCTGAGAAAGGTAAAGTCTAACTTCCCTTACATAATTAGAATCTTAAATTGAGGTTGAAGAGCCATCTCTGGCTGATGTTGACAGATTATATACAAAGATGACAGCTGTTAACTAGAGTTGTGCAAAGCTTCGGGTGCTGATTCGGTTCGGAGGAGATTTGGCCCGATTTTTTTCAGTGGCCAAATCTCCTAATCCGAATAGATTCAGGGGGCCAAATTTAAAAGCTCTGAATAGATTCAGAGCTCTCCGAATCTTTGGAAAAGATTCAGAGAGCTTTGACTCGGGCAGTCCCCAGCAGCTGCAGCAGGAAGCTGGAGCCAGACTTGGAATTGGTAAGTAGGAGGTGGGGAACCTCGACCCCTACCTGCCCCAGCTCTTGGCCCTTTACCAAAAAGCCCCAACTCACCAGGTGCTGCTGGGCGGAGGGTAGGGGGTAATCCTTGCTGCCCCACACTGCATGGGGGCCTCTACACAAGCCCCCTCCCCGCCATGGCTCTGGCCCTTTAAGAAAAAAAACCAAAAAACAAGGAAAAACCCCAAGATTCACTACTCTTGCAGCAGCCTTTGTGCTTTGGGGGGCTCATGCAGAGCACCCCACATGGTGGGGGGGCAGTGGGGATCACTGCCCACCGGGCAGGAACAGTGAGTCCAGGGGGTTTCATCTTTTTTTACTTAAAGGGCCGGAACTAAGGCGGGGGCTCATGACAGAGCCCCCCCCATGCAGCATGGAGCAGTGGGGGCGGGGGGGCAGTAGGGGTCACCTGTAGTGGGGCCTGGTAGCACCCAGTGAGTGTGGGGGGGGTGGGAAGGGGGTCCAAGTGCTGGAAGCTAGGGCAGGCGGGGCCGCCATTGCCGAGCTGGAAGAGCTGGCAGGGGATGGGCCTGCATGATTCGGAGATTCGGCAGCAGCCAGATCTCCAAATCAGGTTTGGCCAAATGAATTTCAGCCTGTGATTCGAATTACCAAATCGAATAACTGTCCCCCGAATTCGCCAAATCTGAAGCGAATACTAGCTGCTTCTCATAGGCCTACTGTTAACAGCTTAAGTTACTTTAGTCAGTCAGAACTCTTGCATGTAGAGCGAAGGGTATATTTTACTCAAATGTTTGCCATCTTTGTTGTGATCTTAGTCTGTAAACCTTGAGCATAGCTCATTTCGTACTGTCTAAAATATCACTGGGACTCAGGACTCTTGCCACATTGGTCTTGGGAGCATAAGCACTAATAACTACATATCCTACTCTTACTTTTTTGAAACAGGGGGATTTCAAGTCACAAAAAGAAGCAGTGTGGGCTGTAACCAACTATACAAGTGGTGGAACAATTGACCAGATCATATATCTTGTTCAGGCTGGTGCTCTAGAACCGTTATTGAATCTCTTGTCAGCTAAGGACAGCAAAACTGTACTAGTTATTCTGGATGCTGTTTCTAATATTTTCTCGGTAAGTAGACCAAGGATAATTCACTGTGGCCTATTGTATAACAATTTAACAGTTATTCCAGTAATCGGTGACTGGGTTTAATCAGAGAAGTCTTCTACTGCACGCATTTCCCTAGCACATTTTGTTCCATTTATTTCAGTCATAAGTGCCATCTACAGAGTTTTATGGTATAGTAGTTTGTCTTGATTTTATTAGGAACAAGGCTACAGTTCTTGGCTACTAAACTTTTTGTTTTCACTGTCTAAAAAGCTGCATGCTCCAAGCAGGAAGAAATCATACTTGATAGCCAGTTTGCTGTAGTAAAGTGTGCTATCTCTAGCACAGCGTACCTGCGGCAGTATTGTTACTAGACCTTAACGAGTGATTCTCTGCAGGCTGCCGAGAAAATTGGTGAGACTGAAAAACTCTGTCTCATGATCGAGGAATGTGGAGGTCTAGACAGAATTGAAGCTCTCCAGTCTCATGAAAATGAACAGGTGTACAAGGCCTCCTCAAGCCTGATTGAGAAGTACTTCTCAGCAGAGGTGAGGAACTGAAAGAGCATTAAATAAGTTTTTTTGTTTTGTTTTGTTTTGTTTTGTTTCGTTTCTGGTTCCTTTTTTTAGCTCCTCGTCACATAATAATTCAACCTTTTAAAGTATTTGTTTGTTTCATACATCTTTTCTTCTCTTGTAGGAAGAGGAAGACCAAAATGTTGTGCCAGACTCTACTGCTGACGGCTACACCTTCCAGATTCAGGGCAGTGCTCCTGACACTTTCAACTTCTAGATTTTGTGTGTACTGCAGCTAACCTCATCTGAGTACCTCTTCTCCTTGTTTTAATGTCTTCACTAATCTTTTTTTACTGTCTTTTTCTACGTGACTTGTAATGTAGCACTTTGTACAATTGAAGCATACTTGAACAGTTCAAAAGTGTACATACTACATGAATCTTACTGTAAATTTCAATCTTTCTTGAAGTATGCCTGTAAATACTCTTAATTCTAGTCTCCTACTTATTAATGTGATTTCCAGTATATAGGTCTTGGCTAATATTCCAAATAGCCTTGAGGCCATAAGAGTTAGATGCAGGCATTGGTTTTAATTTTTTTTGTGGTGTCATATCCATGTGGGTGCAGAGAATTTGGGAAAAGAGTATAAATTGGTGCAACTTTCTCTTTTACCATGCACCAAGTAGCCTGTCATGGTGAAGTCATCAATAGTGTGAACAAGCTTTTAAAGAGAATCTGTGTTCAAAGGTCAATAAAGTGGTATAGGAACACAACTTAGACTGTGTAAAGTACCTCTTTTTTTTCCCCCTTAACAGAAAATGTGGCAAACTTAATGTGCAAAAGGGGGTAAGAATAAGTAGTCTTTGTAAGCACCCTCTTCCTCCTAAGCTCAGGGTAGAAGAATGGGTTCTTTAATCTACTTTACTGAATTTTGTTGCAGTATGCCAGTTCTCAGCCAGGGTGCTGGAGATTATTAAGCAGATAAGATAAGCAAATAAGCCGGCTCAGGCTTATCCCTGCCTGGGGGGAAAAAAATCCTCCAGCCCAAATGCAAGAAGGTAATATGTAGAAACGAGTCTGGCTTTTTTTTGTTTCTTACATTTGGTGTCATTCAATTCACAAGACTCTACTGGGGGGCCTTGAGTCTAATGAAGTGGAGGGGGAGGGAGGGGGTATCCAAAAAAGGTTGAGAACCAATGCAGTATACAAGGGGTCTAAGTGGTGGGAACTCAACAACTACCTGAAGTTGGAGCACTTATAGTTCAACGCTTGGCTACTTCATGTATTGACTGTCAAAGACTTAGAACATTGCTGCATAAAATGGAGTTTAACAAAGTTCCTTTTTGTTTGGTGCTGTTGGGGTGTTTATACATGTACTGCAGGAGTAGGAGGGTGCTTTAATTAGTGTGGCTCTGAGAGCTGGAGTGTCTCGTGTATCAGGATCCCCGCACTTAACGAATGGTGTTGGGGCACTTTAACTAGTTTTGAAGCATGGGGACACTGATACACGAGACATTGGAGTGTGGTAATTAACACAGTCCAACAGACTCGATTAACCAGGCCTGCTCCAACGCACTGTAATTACAGAGTAGTGTTGGAGCAGCCTTGCTGCTCATGTATAAGGGCCCTTACTGTTCTAAGCTTGGCTATTCCACCTGTGACTGCCAAGGACTTAGTTGACTTAATGTTGCTGCATAAAATGGAGTTTAACAAAGTTTGGTGTTTGGTGCTGTTACCACTTGTCTTGTTTCACCTCTAGACAACCTCAGACCTACTCGCAAAGGGTCAGATTCTAGAGTATGGGCAAACGGTCCAAGTGCAGCCAACTTAAGGTTGGGGTGATTGCAGAGCATCTGATGCATAGTAGCTGTCTCCATTCTTTGTTCAAGGCTTAGCTTTCCCTTTCTGAAGGACAAGAGTGAGTAAATAAGTATGTTGCATTAGCTGTTCCCTGATAGGCCCTTGTTGCAATCTGATCACTTTTCTCCATACTGGAGAAATGTGACCCCCATGGCTGCTTTTCTTTCAGCATCCTTAGTGGTGAGCCTTCAAATTTGTTATCAAACCTCTAGTGTGAGTGGTTGGGAAAGGAAAACAATGCTGTACATACAGCGCTGCTTCTTTGATGGTTGACATGTTTGTTAAATGTCCTAAATCGGAGTCTTGTTTTCGTGAATAGAAAAAAATGTACGGTTAAGCCTGGAAAATTCCTTGTTACACGTGCATATAGACTGCATTGAAATCGCCGTGATGCAGGAGTGACCTGGAGGATGTGCGGACCACCTCCCGATCCCGTCCATGATTGATACCATGTGCGAGCCGGGAGCGATATGCGGACCCGTCTTTGCGCACGCAGGCTGTGGCCAGCAGCCCGGGCACGCGGGGTTAGAGGAGACCGTGCGGCGGCGAGGCACGCACGGGCTAAAATTAGTCACAGATGCGTAATGGTTGATTTAAAGATTATTTTACTTACACCGAAGATGGTTGCAGTGCAGGCAGGAAAACTTGCTTGAGTTGCGGTTACAGACAGGAAAGAAGAGAGGCGGACAAGAGTTCTAAACTCGCAAACTCTAGCCCAATCCAGCTGAAGGCTCTAAACACGCGAGCCCGTCGTGTCAACCGAAGAAAGTACTCATACAAAAGAGCTCTGAATAAACTCACACGAAGTTTGCTAGGCTCTGTGGGTCCGGTTCTTTTGCGCGCAGGGAGGGATACGTCTAGGAATCTATCGGCGAGGGGGAGAGGCTAGAGACTGATCAGACCCCTGTTGCCTGCTTGAAATGCGCTGGGTCTGATAGGCTCCGCAGCGCTTGGAGATCTTCACACAGCGTGAAGTCTCCTCCTGGTGTTCGTGGAGTCCTCCAACTTGGGCGGAAACCACTCAAGCTTTTTATACAGCTAGCAAGCCAATCACTAGCCGCCACGTGTGAATAATTTAGAACTAGCCAATGGTGGGGCACAAATTTGAATACGAATGGCGGGAACTCTTTGCAACGAGCATTTCTGTGCTGCAACAAAGAAATGCACCCTGCAAAGAAAGCTACTGGTGGCGGGAATTCTTTTGCACCGGGGTTCTCTTCTGCAGCAGAAAACTCCACCATGCAAAGAAGCTGCAGTTTAGCGGGAACAATTTAGCAGTGCCGAAGCGCACACAAACAAAATCACACCCTTGGGTTGTGACAGAGGATAGCAGTTTGAGTAACTTTTTTTTGTCACAAGTAGCTTGGCTAGCACAGTAGGCTTTCTATGCCTGAAGAAGGGTGATTGCACCCAAAAGCTTGCAACAGTTTTGGGTTTTTTTCCAACTACTCAGTTGGTCTAATGAAAGATATTATATCCACCCAAAGAACCTTGCCTACAGTAGACTAAAGTATTCATGGACGTTTAGTCTTTTATTTAGTCTCCTGTACTATTGAAAGTGTCATCTGAATGTAATGCAACATATCCAGTTTCTTGTTGATTTAAGAACTAAAACCCCAAGTTTGGACGGGGGGGAGGAGGAGTTGAATTCATAATAAATTATCTGCTTCTGGTGATGGAACTACAAAAGCATCATGCATGCAAGCAAAGTTAAATTTCTTTGCATCTGGAAAGTCACCTGACTTTTCTGCTGACTGTAAGCTATCTCTGCAGGAAATGAACATAATACAAATAGGAGAAACATTTTAATGGTATGTGCAATTTTATTTTGGTCTATACTTCCAGATAAGGGCATGTTGAATAATGGGGCTTTCACGTAGCTTTGCAACTGGTTTGAACTTTTTACAGAAAGAACCTTGCTGTAGGTATGATGGAATGCTAGAGGCTTCTAACAGACATCAGCTGTTCAGGAAATACTCTAAATTACTGCTTGCTCTGGAGAATACGAGCAAGGCCAGCAACGTGGAATGTGTTACTCTTGGTTCGAAAATGTAACTTAAGAATTTAGTGCTGACTCCAATTCAGAGCTGTTCTCCCTGTTATCTTTCTCCCACTGCACCTTCGTTTACTGTTAAAATGATCCACCTCTTTTATTGTTGAAATTAAAGCAGTTCTAAAACCCAGTATATCTAAATTGCCTTTCTCTTCAGCTTTCTGGGTTCCAGCACTTTAAACTAAGGGATGAAAGGGGTAAGTCAGGTTTTCGGATAGTAACTTTATAATGCTAAACCTGAATTGAGTGTGATAATGTTTTAGTGACCTACTTCTCATGTAGATGTACACTGAAACTTAACCACATATTGTGTGTCCGTCTCTCAGCCACAAATAGTTGACTTTATTTGTAAACTGAATCAGTATGTGCTCGTTTGGTCTCAAGCTGGTGTGCAGGACTTGCTCGCATTGGCTCTGTAATCTTTCCTGCTTCACCACCTGTTACTGCTGTATCCACTAGGAGTTGCACATTCCTGTTAAAGATGACCTGGTAGAATTGTTGAGACTTGATGTAATGAAGCGGGTGGACTTTAACCTAGCTTATAGAAGGGGACCTACCTAATTTGTGACAGCTGCTTCCACATTGCATGGTCCTGGTGTGGTGTTGTGTGCCACTTTCACTGCTGAGTGCAGTGTCCCATCCTGTCCCCACCACCCATGCCTCTGGCTGAGGGGCCCCAGAAGTCCCATCTTTCCTTGGAGATTGACAGATGGATATCCGTCAGTCTCCAGGGAGGGGTGGGATTTTCACGGCCCTTTGGCCAGAGCTGTGAGGGGCCCTCCCACCACGGACGGCTGCAAAAATCTCACCCCGTGTTCCAGGACACCAGGACTTCCCACCTCTGTTCACAGCTCCTCCCTGCCACCCCCAGCTTGCTGGCCATCTTCCCACTTTTTTGTGGTCCCTGCATTTTTTTCATGGAGGACATACCAAATTTGTGGGTTTTTTTCACAATGTGAATGTAGGTTCCTAATTATAGCAATTGTTTGAACTTGGCATTTGCATTTAGTAACACTTAGCCAATAAAATCTTGATTGTTTCATTATTGAAAAGCCCTAATAAAGGTAAGATAATGGCATACAATTCAGATTTTAGTTTTCAATCTCCTCACCTCTCCTTTTATTCAGAAAGCTGGATGTCTTTTATCCTTAAAAGTTTTTAGAAGGATAAACTTCTGAATCTATGCATTGAGTGCAAGTGGTTCTGATGTTACAGTGCTGTATTGTGTGTATTGTGGTGTTTTAAGACTTCATAAGCCAGCTAGGCATGGGGCTAGTTCATGTTTGAATGTGTGTGTTATCAGACAGTATTGATAGTTCAGTAGGTGGCACTTTTGCTTCCACTTGCCTGGCATAGGGGTGCAGGCCATTGTATACTTGTAGGGAGATTTTAATGCATGATCTGCAAAAAAATGGTTTGTAATCTCTTTAGGGATAGAGGGGGTGTTAGCACAGGTTTCATTTAGCCTAGTTCAGATCACTGTACAGATTTCCCCCGTCCTGCAGCCCACACCACCATAAATTCAATTTTAAATATTTGGCTTGCTGTTTTAAGGACGCCCTGAAAATGGTGAGGCCAGAGGTGCTTGATATCCTTATTATAAGGACCTTTGAAGTTCTCAACATGAACAATGCTCTCGAGATGCACAAAGGATTTATACCTTCCTGCTTTATGCTTGTGAAAGATATTGGTACTTAAAGTATGCCGAGGCAGTATGGTCCTCATCGGTGTTGTATCTGATGTTCTGGAATACTTACATAACTATTAGGCAATTCAGATTGCCCCACTGAAGTCTAAACGGTTGAGTTCAGATTCTCTGCCTCTCAGTTTACTATTGTCCCCACCCTGGTTCAAAACAGAGGGA